TTTCCAGATGAGAATACACAAGCGACTCATTGACTTGCACAGCCCTTCTGAGATTGTTAAACAGATTACTTCCATCAGTATTGAACCAGGAGTGGAAGTCGAAGTCACCATTGCAGATGCCTAAGTCAACAACTGTTTTAATAAATTGATATTCAGTTGTTAAATTCTGTTGGCTTTTGTTATTAATTTTACCTTGCTTTTCAGGTATCAAAACCATTTCCTAGAAACCACCAAACCAATGTATTTTTGCCCTTATTTCAATCTGAAAACTGAATTCCCCTAATTCTAGTGTATGAAACTGCATTGATTGTGCAGTTCTATGTAACATGGTGGCTCATAACTTTGGTTACATGTTGGAAATTTTATGCACAGCATTAATTCCTATTCTGATTTATTGTATGGGGTGCATTAATCTATGAAAAAGCTTTAGGGGGATTCTGATATAAAGTTATAGTGGGCAGGTAGTAAATTGGGAAAATGAAGAAATAATTTACAGTCCTGGCTTTGCCGATTTGTTGGCACTTAATTTTCAAAATGTTCGGGAATCAATATTGGTTATATTTTTTAATTTTTTTAATATTTGTTTTTTTAGTTGTAGTCAGACATAATACCCTTTTTTTATTTTTATGTGGTGCTGAGGATTGAACCCAGGGCCCTGCGTGTGCTAGGTGAGTGCTCTACCGCTGAGCCACAATCCCAGTCCCCCAAAATTCAATTCAATATTTTTAAATGTGAATTTGAACTATAAAACTTTTTTTGAGATTAACTGTAACTCAGTGGATTTCAACAAATTATCAGCTTGAGGAATAGTCAAAACTGGACCATAACTATTTCTGGAAGTTATGCGATATGGTGTAGTTAGGTTCCTGAGGAAAGCAATGACCCGGTTTTATTAGAAAACCTGAACTTGGTTAGCTCTTCTAGAAAAAGTTTGAAAAAAGGATTCTCATTAATCAAAGACCAGGAATCAAACCTACAGATAGGTAGCCCAATTTTAAGCAGTATGGAGTGCTAGAGAGCTCAGGTCATTTTAAAAACTTAAGTACCTTGTTATGGAAGATTCTCAAGTAGATAGAGACTTCGTTATATTTTTCTTGGTATTGGGGGTTGAACCTAGAGCCTGTTAGGCAAGCAGTACACCAGTGAGCTATACCCCCAGGCCTTTTGTAATTTTTTAAGACCGGTACTCAGTAAATTGGCTGCTCTCTAACTTTGGTGTCTTGCCTCATCCTTGAATAGCTGGGATTAAAGGCATGTGCCACCATGCCCAGCAGAAGCAGCTTTAACAATGTTCAGTATATTGCAACATAGAAAGCAATGAGATTTGTTCAGTCTCCTAAGAACTGATTAGAAAATCTTAATTCCATGAAAACACTTAGCCACTTAGAGCCAAAGTAGAATGAAAAATATTTCAGTGAATCCTAAGATAACAGTTTTACAGCTTCTGTGGAGTTATGAGTTTTTAGCAGTTGAATTTCTTCACAAATAGGTGAAGGAGTTTGATTAAAGCTTTAGGTAATACTTTTGGAATCCTGTCAGTCAAAATACACCACTTAAAATGTTGGGAACTGCTGTTAACCAATTTCTCAAAACATTTAAAAATGCATACTTGGAAACAATCCCTGCCAGGGGTTAGGACTATAAGAAAGGAAGGATGGGTTCAATTGTAATGATGCCCATCCATTATATATAAATCTGTTTCATTTTTTATTTAATTGGTGCATTATGGTAAAGATGAGATTTGTTGTTACATACTGGTACATGCACACAATTTAACAATCTTTAGCTAGTATTTTTCCCCAGCACCTGCCTCTTGCTTCCCAACCTCTGGTCCCTTTTCTCTACTGATCTCCCTTTGGTTTCATGGGATCCTTGACCCCTCCACCTTTCTTTTTCCTCTCTAGTTTACACATTTGAGAGACAGCATATGACCTTTGATCTTCCGTTTGTCTTTGATCTTCTGTTTGTAATTAAGGTCTCTAGTTCTATCCATTTTACTATAAATGGCATAATTTCATTTTTCCATGGATGCCCAGGGTTTTAGAATGTTAACAGGTTTTTGTATGGAGGGGGAGTTACAGGAAGGTTTAAAATGGGAACCTCTCTAGTCAGTCACCTTAGGATTTAGAATACTGCTTTGCTTTTGTTTTAGAAATATGACCTAGCAATTACCATGGAAATTAAAACCACCATGACTGTTCATTGCTGGATCAGACTTCTTAATCTGACGTCCTCAGAAGATCTGTGTGTGCTCTGGATGGAAATGAATAGGAAAGAAGATGCAAACGTGAAAAGCCCTGGTATGCAGTCAGATTGTTCCAAATTTAGTTATTTGGGTATAAGTTATTTGATGACTTAAGCCTCGGTTTTTATGTGCCAAATGAGGATACTAATAGTTATCTATATTAAAAGCATATATGCTATCTCGTCTCTGGGAGACATTTTGCAATTAAATCATGACTAGTTTTCTAAAGGCATGAATTTCTTGTACTTGGACCTTGGTTCCCATAGGACCTGGTGTACAAGCTGACAAGTGGTATTGGATTAAATTTTAAGTTTATTTTGAGATATGTATTTGAATCTCAATGACATGGTCTTTCTACCTATACTCTTCTTCACATAGAAGTGACGAAGCAGGCCCATCTCTATTAGAGAACCTAAGCCAAAGTTTTATATTTTGAAAGTAAAAGGAGCTAAATTAATCTTTATTTCTTTCATCTAAGAATAGTATATTTCACTTTCATAGCAAATTAAATTCTCATAATGAGAGAATTGAATCCTACATTTTGTTCTCTAAACATTTATTTTTAATTTACATATTATGGTTATTTTTTTTCATTCATTTAAAAAAATCCCACCTCCCAAAATATACTGTGTTCTAGTTTACTACTTATGAACTCCCATTTTTACCCCAAATACAAATTGCAGAATCACATCAGTTACACATTCACAATTTTTACATAATGCCATATTAGTGACTGTTGTATTCTGCTGGTGATCAGCATTTTCACCTCCTTAAACATTTATCATTTGTGTTGGGAACCTATGAATTCCTCTTTTACTTTGTAAAATATATAGTAAGTTGTGAACTGTAATCACTGTACTGTGCTATAAAGTATTAGGAAAAGGAAAAAAGTATTAGAAGTATTAGCATTCCTCCTATGTAACTATTTTGGTATTAGTTATCCAACCTCCCTCCATCCTTTCCCTTCCAAACTTGTAGTGACCTCTATTCTACTCTACTATTAAATGAGCTTATCTGTGTGTGTATGGGGGTCTCTCTGTTGTCAGGACTTGTCTTGAATTCCTGGACTCAAGCAATCCTACATCAGCCTCTTGAGTAACTGGGATTGTAAGTTTCCATCACTGCCTTGTTTAAAATTAGCTTTCTTACTTCCACAAACAAGTGATAACATATAGTGTTTGTCTTTGTGCCTGACTTATTTAATATAATACCTTCCAATTTCATCTATATTGCCACAAATGACAAAGAATTTCATTTTTTATGGCTAAATAATAATCCTTCTGTATATATGCTTTAAATTTTTTTATAACTGGGAGATGTTTCTCATTCTTCCAATGAATGTTCTGTTGTATAACCAGCTTCCTCTTTAATGGACTTTAAGACATACCAAGTTTCATTGCTATTAAAAGCACTATTTCAATCAGTATTTCAATGTCTTTTCTCACCTGTACAACTATAACTATAGGAAGTATTCCTGGAAGTTAAATTTTTGAATCATGGCTTACATTGTGTGTGTGTGTGTGTGTGTGTGTGTGTGTG